TCTCTATTGAGCGTATCTCCTTGGTGATAGCAAAAAACCAACCTGCAGTCTTTCTAGGTTCCAACTCTCAGTCCCAAACTCCATAAATAGTACAGCCTGGCCCTGCTTATAAGTCTCTTAATTTCTCAAAACCCAGAGCAGAGTTCTAGGCAGGATTTCACATGTGAGACTGAAGATACTTCTTTTAGTCATCTCTTAGCACAAACTACTGCTTTTGGGGCTGGGGATGTGGCTCAAGCGGTAGCGCGCTCGCCTAGCATGCGTGCGGCCCGGGTTCGATCCTCAGCAGCACCACATACCAACAAAGATGTTGTGTCCGCCTAGAACTAAGAAAAAAATAAATAAATGTTAAAATTCTCTCTCTCTGTCCCCCTCTCTCTCTCACTCTCTCTTAAAAAAAAAAAAAAAAAAAAACAAACTACTGCTTTTAGGAAACCATTTCCCTCCTCACAGAGAGCATTTTCAGTAGAAACTTGATGCACTGGTTCTTTTTTGCAGCTCTCTTAGAAGAAAATAGGAAATCTCATTGTTGATTATTAAGGGCTTCTAGGGCACACAGGCCTCTTTCTCTGGTGAAGTGGGAAGATCAAGAGAATGAGTCTCAAAAGAGCCTGACTCTGGAGATGCATGCACAGGCAACCATCTTCTGTCTTTGTCTCCTGCCATCTTCATTCTGAGATATTTTGTCATTCTCCGGGGTAGTTAGGATGAGGCTTCTAAGTAGGGTTTTTTCCTTTTGGGTGTTTTTTATATGAACGGTTGTTTCTATCTATGAAATAGATCTGATCCTATTCCTTCATGATCCTCAACCATTTCCTGCTATCTTCCATAGGGCCTTGAACTAAAATGCTTGAATTTAGAAAGTATCCTGTGAGTTCTCTAGGTCCTCCAGGCAGGATCTGGCAGGTCAGGATTATTAGACCCACTTCCATGTCCACCTGCAGTTACAGGTGTCTAGCATAGTTCTTCTTACAGACCTTCAGGTTAGTGGGAAGGGAGAGTGTATGATTACCTCTCTTGGAGCTAAGAGAGAGGATGATAAGTAGTTGTTAAGAATAGCTAATATTGGGCTGGGGTTGTGGCTCAGTGGTTGAACGCTTGCCTAGTACATGTGAGGCACTGGGTTCAATCCTCAGCACCAAATAAAAAATAATAAGCAAAGTTATAAAAATTTTAAAAAGAATAGCTAATATTAAAAAGTTTTGTAAGCCACTGGATATTTAGTTTGTCTGATCACTTTGTCTTTTCAGTCAGGTACCAGGAGTTTAAGAGAATATACTCTTATGGAGCTGCTTGTGGTAAGTGCATAAAGTGAGTCAAGGTGTTTTTTAAGAGCCTGGGTTCACTGAGACCCAGCCTTTCTCCTTGGAAGCTGGTGACTTGGGGTAGTCATTTAGTATTCTTACCCAGCAAGAGGATAGAAAAGGGATATAGGAGGAAAGTAGTGAGAGGCTAGATCATGGAGGTATGTGGAACACTTTTTTGAGGGGAGAAAATGGAAGTCTCTTTGCTGCCTTCTGGGCTGATGGTTAGTGTGTTGAATTACAGATGCACATGGAAGAGCCTTGTTTTGACTTCCTTCGAACCAAGCAGACCCTTGGGTAAGTTCGCTGATAAGGGTACTGAAATTTTACAAATGAGTCTGGGGCTTCTTTTGCAGCTTCTCAGAACTTCACAGTATTCCATGCCTTACTTGTCAGAATTTTTGAAATATGGTACATCTTGGACTACGATCATGTTTTCAGTTTGGTCAAGTTGCAAGATAAACAAGAAATCAAGCTAACTTGTGGTCCCTAGTTCAGGAAAGGGGTGCACACCCTGACGAGAATTAAGTAGTTGTATACACATTTATGGTCATCTTTTAGGACTTTCAGAACCCAGTATGTGGGCAGAAACCCTCCCCCTTGAATTTCTGAGGGCAGAGCCCAGTAACCTCATGAGCCCGAAAAACTTTTCACTTTGTTTATAGGTACCATGTATATCCAACCTGTCGGAATACATCTGGGATTCTAGGATTCTCTGTCACTGTGGGGACTCAGGCAACCAAATATAAGTGAGTAAGCCAGTGAATAAATGGATCTAACCTATTCTAAACATGGAGAATGGGAACTACAGATACTTCCTTAAGCCTTGTGCAACTCTTAAAACAAGCAGGGTTTGCTCTGTTTAGTCACTGGGGAGCAGAGGGGAAGCAGTAGATGACCATAATGAGGACTGATATATGGGTTCCAGTGGCCCTTTAGGACTTGGCTCAAATCTTATTGACAGCACTTGCCAATGTTTTTCATTAGGTAGATGAGAACAAGAAAGGTAATGATTCCCAACTTGACATTTATGCTGTAACTAAATGTAAGGTCTTGATAGTTCTCAGCTTTGGAATGGTCAGGTATGGCTGTAGCTACTTCTGGATGAGGATACTAGGGAAATTGTTCTAGTGGTGGGGGGCCGGGTATAGGAAGGTTCTTCCCCATTCTCTTCCCTCCTTCAGCTTATGGTTGAGTACAGAAGTCTTAGAAAACACTTATGTCTTTTTCTTGGAAATATGCCTTAGTCCTAATTCCTTCCTTTGACTTTTGCCAGAGATGAGCTCTCTGATTGCTTTTCATTTAAGATATTCTATTTCAGCTCTGAAATTGTTGATAAGAAGATAGAAGAGTTTCTTTCCAGCTTTGAAGAGAAGATCGAGAACCTCACTGAAGATGCATTCAACACCCAGGTGACTGCACTGGTCTGTCTAGTCTTGGTTTATGCAAGCCTTCAAGATACCATATACCAGTTTTTCACAGTGTGTAGGCCAGTTTTTTGTTTTTATGGTACTGGAGATTGAACCCAGGGGAACTCTTCCATTAAGCTATATATCCCAGCCTTTTGTGAGACAGGGTCTCACCAGTTGCTGAGGTTGGCCTTGAACTTTCGATCTTCCTGCCTCACCTTTCCAAGTTGGTAGGATGACAGGTATGCACCACCAAGCCCAGCTGGCTTGAGATTTATAGCTCCATCTTTATCTGATCATAATGTCCCCCTAGCTTCCTCTCTTCTGATAATGCTGGCTAGGTCCTTCACAAGCCAGATTTGATAGGATTATAATTCCTGCTGTGCACACTGGTGTGATGTCATGCCTGAGTGTCTCTTTGGTGGGAACAGGTTACAGCTTTGATCAAGCTCAAAGAGTGTGAAGATACCCACCTTGGGGAGGAGGTGGACAGGAACTGGAATGAAGTGGTGACACAACAGTATCTCTTTGACCGTCTTGCCCATGAGGTAATGATTTTCAGACCAACACAGCCCTGATGTGAGAGTTTCTAATTCTATGAGTTTTAAGTGCAAGCATCCCAGTATTGTGCTACTTGGGATACTTGTTGAGGCCTGGCCACTTGCTCATTTCTTGATTCAAATACTCAGTTTCCAGCAGTTTACCTCCCACTACCTTTTTTCAGAGAAGCTGAACATTTTATTATATATATGGATTAAAAAGGGTTTCTGCTATAGAAAGTTGGACTTGATGTCCTCCAGATTTACTTATTCCAGTTGTATAGGTTTTTTTGATGACTTCTAGCTCAAAATAATAGAACCCATGAAAAAGAACTTTCTGGATCCTGCAATTCAGTGCCACCTCTGATTATAGGTAGCTCTCCTGTAGTGCATTAGCAAAGACATCATTGCTCTGTGAGGCAGAAGGAGCCCAGCTCAATAAAAGCACTCCAGTTGACATCAGTAGTTGCTATATTTTCTCAAGACAGAGAAATGAAATGTGACACCAAAGACTTGGGTTTCTAGTTGAGTACAGTACTGAGTTGTAATTATAACATCTGCTGTCTTGCTTACCTGCTAATGTAGATCATTACTATGAAACATGAATCTGTGCTACATCCTCTATCCTTCTCTGGAAGGCTAGAGCTAACACTGAAAATAAAACAAAGTGCTCAGATATAAGCAGGATCAATCTAGATGTCTTTCCTATCTCCCTTTCCTCTATAAGATTGAAGCTCTGAAGTCATTCTCAAAGTCAGACCTGGTTAACTGGTTCAAGGCTCACAGAGGACCGGGAAGTAAAATGCTCAGTGTTCATGTGAGTATGGTTAAGTAAACTGTAGTTCCTTTCTTTCCAGGGTTGTCTTTTACTGAGTTTGGGTGGTTAACAGAAATTCTAAACAAGTTGTTTGCCTACAATATAGCCAACACATTTCTTACCTTGAGTCTTTTCCTCTTTCAGGTTGTTGGATATGGGAAGTATGAACCGGAAGGGGATGGCACCCCTTCTGGTGAGGATTCAAACTCTTCTTGTGAAGTGATGCAGCTAGCCTACCTGCCACCTTCTCCTTTGCTGGCAGATTCTACCATCCCCATTACTGATATCAGGGCTTTCACATCAACACTCAGCCTTCTCCCCTACCATAAAATAGTCAAATAAACTGCAGTCTCATTGGCCTGAAGGAGTGTGTATTTAAAGATGTGTTTGTATTTTATGGAGTTACACTACTACTGCCTTTGGGCTTCCATTGAATTTTTTGCACTGGCATCATAGAATTCAATTTCCTTTTTTTTCTTTTCTGTTGAGACTAACCAACACAGGGTCAATGTAGAGGGTGGACAAGTGTGAATTTGACACATTTGAAGCAGTTATTTGGGAAGCTTTGGCCTGTGTCATCTCAGATGGAGAATCCAATTCTTGAGAGGCCCTATGTAACCAATTTGTTATTAGTACCTAAATGCTAGGTACTAATACCTGTTTTTTTTTTTTAAATGTATTTTTAAATAAAGATAGTTCTGTATTACCCTTCAGAATGAGCCATCTGCTGCTGTGGCATTCTTTTTATTATGTTTTATTTCAGTGTGGTGTGTGGATCTAAAAATACACATTAAACACTGTAAGGCAATAAAATATTTTTGGTGAAATGTTTGTAGCCTTACGTGTGTTAACACAAGGAAAAAGCTTAGCAGGGACAAAAGATAACAGCACGATAAGGGTAGGAAGAGGAAAAGGAGGCCAGACACTCCAGTATTTTAAGAATTCTTGTGAAAAGCTACTATATTCAAGGTTGCCAAATAACTGACTTCCATGTCTAAACATGAAGATTTAAAAAAAAAAAATACACTTTTTAAAAAGGTTGGAAAAATTACTTTATGAAGCCTTAAGAAGCACTGAATATAATTCAACTGTAATCCAGGTTTAGATACAATTTAATAATAGTTCATTTCCAAAATAAAAGTTATCATAAGTGAAACCATGAAATTTCCTAACACTTGATTTTAATACATTGCACTAATATTCTAAAACAACTCTGAGGAACCAATATTTACAATAGATGGAAGATTATGAAAAATCTGCCATCAGGTATATTTTTGTGTGTATATATTTGTATATATAGAACCCAAGAGATTACATGAACGAAGAAATAAGAGTCTGTATGTCATGTCTTAACAGCAGAACAAGAGTGCAGAGTGTGAAACTTTTCAAAGCATGGGGTCTGGAACAGGAGCAGACATCTTGTTTTCTCAGGACTGAAGTCAAAATCTTAACTGCCATAGAGAAAGGGAAGCTTTTCCAGCTTTAATTGTTCATCTGTGTCAGAAAGTCCAGTATCCCTGAGATAGGAACCACCGCAATAAGAAGGGAGTGATAGGTTCTCCCAAAGGAAGATTGTTGCTTAATTTACACGACTTACCCTGGTCATCGGGTGTAAACTTTTGTTTCCCAGCCTAATGCTTCACAGCACCAAGACGTTTCAGTAATGGTTCATCATAAACCCAGCATTCTCCATCTTCATGGAATAACTGTAAGAAGAAGAAGAATTCATTTATTTGCTTGTTTTGTACTATTCTTTTATAGGGTAGTTTTTTATTATTCCATGCCTTCTCTCATTGGATGAAATGAGTTTCAGGAAGGGACCAGTGATCATCTTTGTTCATAGTGTTCACCACCTTGCTAAAACATGAATGAATTACTACTACTCAAGGTACAGGGGAATAGCAGTTAGGTGGGGCTTACCCTTGTCTCCCACTGAATTTCCTTCTCCTTTCTTTCTCGGGCTTCTGCTCTTTGTCTTTCTTCAAGTCTGTGCTTTGCTTCAGTTGCTGCATCAATGTCTCTGATTTTTAAATTGAAAGTGACATCCTTCCAAAGGCTAAAGAAGAGAGATTAAGAGGAACTGACAATCTTGAGAATGAAAGTCTAGAGCCACCTCTGAATACAGTAGAAAAATAATAATATAAATCAAATGGCTCTTGAGTGTTATAATAAATCTCTTTAAGATGGCAACAGGGCACAGAAGGAGTAAAGAATACAGAAATGGGCCTAAGGAAGACCCACCTGTTAGCTATCAAAGTATAAACAAGAGCAACAGGAGAAAGGACAAAGGGAGCTGAGACCTGTGATTCTACTTCTGGTTCTATCTATACCTACCTGGGAGAGTCAGTTTCCCTCTCTAGGGCTTGAGTATCCTTTACTATAAATTGAAAGGATTAGAACAGAGGAGCCGAGATGCTGCATTTCAAGAAAAACCTCCCTTAGATTTAAAATGTGATCTTGGAAGGGTGAAGAGGTCAACTGCAGAGGCAGATGTAAGCACTTCCTCCCAAGGCCATAATTTCCACTGAAGAAAAGAAGTTCTAATTTTCCTTACCAGCGGGACTCATATTCATTCTGATCTTCTAACTTCCTCACTTTCTTCTTGATTATAGGCAATTTCTTGGTATCTACAAAGACCGTATTTTCCTAGAAAAGGTGAGGTTAAAGGATATTTTATCGTTTAAACTGTTTTCTGAGGAAAAGTCAACTCTTCACAGAAGGCTTTAATTAACAGATTAAGTTTCATGTATGTTAATGATGTAGCCTTAGTAAGTTTTGTATGCAGCCTTAAGGGTAAAATAATACCATTTTATGTTTTAAGTCCAGAGGCTCAATTCAACAGATATTTTCAATGTGGCTACACATATTTTCAATGTGGCTATGTTGCTATGGGCATCATTCCTAGGAAGCCAGACCCATCACAATTAATCTTTGTGTGCTTTTTACATTGCAAATTCTCTGAAGTCCAGTTCACAGATTCCTCCTGTTATCCTTACACCACCTTTCTTCATGGCTTAATGAGAACATTTCATGGGTGGTATACAGAGGGAAAATTCCTTGATGGTGGGACTCATTTACTTACTCATTTCTGAATGCCTGGTGGCAATTTATTTAAATTTATTAGTTTTTGAGTGTAGACACACACACACACACACACACTCAAATTTGGTTAGCACTCCATTTTACAAACATGGCACACATTCACATGATAGGCCCAACACAGGGTGCTCAATATGTGCCAAGTACTGTTTTACATATATTATTCTCAAGTGTTTTGTAAAGAGAGAAAAGTAAAAATCATTCTATTACCTGCAATGCTGGAAAGGAGGAAGGGGAAGGAAGAGTAAAGTTTCAAATGGAAAAGTAGGAAAAAGGATAGGCTGAAATTAAATGTAGCCAAAGACAAGTGGCAAAATATAGGTTCTTACCCCTGTTGCATATTTTGCATACATTACACCATTCCATTCCCCTTCAATTGAGCAAAAAGACTTCTTGTCATTTGGAGAACTAAATATAAAAGGAAATATCTGTGTTAGTGTCAAATTGGGAATTATTCTACCTTTTTTTTTTTTTTTTTGTAGGCAGCATGGTTTACTGTCAAAGCATAGAACATAAGAGAGCAACTGTGAGGTTTTTGGTAAAAATTGCTTAATGGAACTAGACTTCTCAAGGCTAATGATAAGAAAGGGCCCCTAAACAAGATGCTAATAAACCGCAGATCCCATGAGCAACGGTGTGAGATAGGCAAGGTGCTGGCACCTGGCACACTGCCTGCCCTCCAACTGTTCACAGCCTACTACACTCACCAGAGATTCTAGGTGGTAAGTGTGTGGTGAGCTCATGTGGGCACCAGGGGTCAAGGGCAAAACTGCTAGTGCGAAGAAACTTAACTCTAGCATATAGTTTTTCTCCCCAGGCTTAAAGGAATCTCTAGATCAAATAGTTTTGGCTCTTTTCCTAAACAAGGATTCTCCAAAGCCCTGACAGGCCTTTACTTGATACCACAGTGGTATGTCTGGCAGATATGGAATTTGGGCAGATAAATTTAATAGCACAGGCCAGGTTAGGAAGGACAAAGCATAAACTGAGGCTACAAGAGACCAGAAATTAAAAAAAAAAAAAAAAAAGTCAAGGTAGAGAGATGAAAACTGCTATCCCTTACTAGAAACGAGTGAAAATGGGGGGAAAGGGAACAATGAGAAAGAAAAAATCCCAGGATTAGAAGGTTATTATGAGATGACTCCAAGTGTGGTCTGGGGACCCTTAAGGGTTCCCAAGACCCTATAAGGGAGGGAGTGCTTAATGTCAAAACTATTTTCGTAATAAGATATTACTTGCCGTTTCCACTTGTTTTTTTCACAAGTGTACAGAATAGAAGTAGCAGATAGTAGAATCCACCTGTACTCTATTAATTACATTGAAGATTTATAAAACTTTCAAAACATAAAAAGCTATTATTCTCACAAAATTTTAAAAGTTTTAGAAAATTTATTTTTGCAAAAAAATCTAATATTTTAAAATCTTTTAATTTCTCATGCAAATATTGATGGTTATAATAAAGGGGTCCAAAGACCAAAAGTTTGATGCTCAAACTTTGTCTGATGCTCAAATCCTGAATAAAACGACTTCAGAAAGAGCTCTTTGAGCTCACAACTTTTTGGTGGGGGGGTGGGCGGTACGGGGGGTTACTGGGGATTGAACCCAGGAGCACTTAACCACTGAGCCACATCCCCAGACCTTTTTTAATGTTATTTTAGAGACAGGCTCTCGCTGAGTTGCTTAGGGCCTCACTAAGTTGCTGAGGCTGGCTCTGAACTCATGACCCTCCTGCCTCAGCCTCCTAAGCCACTGGAATTACAGGCATGTCACTGTGCCCAGCGAGCTCACAACTTTTGAAGGTAGTCTTTCTACTACATATGGCTCTAATTGGCAGAAAATTCTGTTGAGCTAACAGTTCCTGTTGGGTTGGTTACCTCAAAAGGAGGGTGACTTGCTTCCATTGTCTTCCTGTTTTTTAGCAGTAACTCATGTTGCTCTCTAAGCCCTCCATATTTTCTGAATCCAACAATGTTATTGATTCTTTGTAAACTTCATCTTATGTTCCTGGACCCAACCTGCTCAAGATGTTTTGGGGTGCCAATTTAGTTATCCACATTAAGTCATCTCCCTGGAAAGCTGGTTTACCAGTCATGTATTTTCCATCTGACACTGTTCCCAATAAGGCCTTCCAAGGCAGAGAAAAGTCCAGTGGCACAACACTGCACTCTCCCATTCCAGGCAAGCTCTGAACCCACCCCCCTAGCAAAGGCACAGAAAAGGGAAGGACTATGAAGACTTGGGAGACACTCCGGGGACACAAAGTCTGCTGTTAAGGACTAGTTTATGGACCAATCTTTAAGAATCCATGGTCTGGGTTAGCCAGAAAAGTAGAAGACCTCTTTCAGTTCCCATTGCAAATCAGGTTATGAGGAAGCAGGTCTCATCAGTGACCCCTGACTTTTATGAACCTGAGTTCTAGGTCTCCTTTTCATAAGGGATTTTAGTAAGAGATGTACTACAAGTTTAAAAGGACAAAACAATTAAAATAATCCCTAACAAAGAAGTTTAGACAAAAGGAAGTATTTCAGAAAAATGGAATAGCACTGAGAAAAACAAAATACCTACAAAATCTCAGCAGTAATTCTGTGTTTCTTGCCTCCATAGAAAGGTTTAGTGTGGAAGACGATATTTGCACTATAACCAGTTTTGGAACAATTAATATTGCATTCTCCTCCTAGTTCCACCCAGGGCACTGTGAGGATAGACCTGGAAAATCAAAAGTTCTCAGGTAAGGCTGACAGTTATGAGGAAAGGAATGGATTTGGTGGGGTCTTCTGCTGATCAGAAGAAATGGAAATGGCTCTACTTGCCTTCCATAACCATTGGGGAATGTGAGAATGTAATGCTCATCATAGTCTAGACATGAGACACAGCCTGGGGAGAGAAAGAATAAAACCTCTGATTAATAGTGTCAACTGGCCACAAGGCTTTGTAGTTTGCCTAATGGATACTTCACTTGATTTAGGAGTAACCTATTTTGTATCCCACCCCTGTCTTCATCCCAGTACATATGCTTTCATGCACCCAATAGCATGCAGTATGGCTTTCTGGAGCCATTTTCCCTTACTAGACAGGTGTCTATCAGGTATTCGAAAACATACAAACTCCTACTAACACTGTAGTCCACCCAATGCCCACAAACTTACCTTGCCCTATGTTGTGCACCCCAATTGACATCCCAAGGAATTTTGATTTAGTCCAGATATGAGCATTGAATTGGATTTTCTTGTTAAAGCATTCAGCATAAAAGGCTGAAACTGAATAGGAAAGTGTTTTCTATTAGTGCACTATATAGCTACAGCTACCTCTTTAAACCCTATCTGGGGGAAAAAACTGGCTTCTCAGGGAAGTACTTTACCTCTCAAAGAACAACCTTATTAGGCCATGAGGTACCCACTTGCCTTTTCCACTCTTTCTCCAACGTAAGCACCCATTCAAAGCTCCTCTAAAATGAATTTGGCTGTGGACACTCCAGGAGACATAAAATCAAAAGTGTCTTGTGTTCTGGTCAGCAAGCATGCCTATTACCAGCCCCAACCTGAGCCCATCCAATACGTCCAATTTTAATACTTCATTAAACAAGATGTTGAGGATATTTATTCTTTCCACTATGTCCAGAATATACAATATAAAAAATACATATCATTTATACAAACTGTCTAAAAGTTGCTAAGGTCTCTCTAGAGCAGAGCATTATGTGTGAGTTTAGAAGCATTAAGCACTGGTTTCCCAAATCCAGCCCCCATTTTTTTTTTAAATAAAATGATACTGGGGATTAAACCTAGGGGTGCTCTACCACTGAGCTACATCCCTAACCCTTTTTTATTTTGCTCAAGCAAAATAAAACAAACTCATGATTCTCTAGCCTCCTGAGTGGCTGTGAGGACAATTGTGTACCACCACATCTATCTCCCAAATTCCTTCTTTTCATATATATATTTAGTCAGTGATACTAAGAATCTTGAAACTTATACAAGAAATTGACAATAAGAACAAATCAACTGAGTTTCTACTTCAGGTAATGGTGATGATACAGCTAGCCATACAACTGACAATTAAAGCAATCTCAGCTACAGAATTTTTAATGATCTTCAGCAGGCAGAATAGTTTCATAGTGGATGTTGCAGAAGAGCTGTGTAACTTACTGGGTGGATGATGGGAAACCTGCTCAGCCACGAATGTTACACTGTTTTTGGAAACCCAGGGAACTGGTCCTTCTGAAACTAGCTCCTGCAAGCAAATACAACATAATTTCCTATGGATGTGGGACAATACAAAAACAAATGACAATACGGAAAATCTGTTAACTGGAGTCTTTGCTCCCTCCTATATACACACCAATCACCCTACACATATTTCTTTTATGGCACTCAATTACAATACTATTATTACAGTTTGTGTCAATCTCCCTGACTATTAAGACAATCCTAAAGGCCTGACACAGTGGATACTTATGTCTGTCAAGTGAATAGACATATACTGATTATCTTTAGTAAAGACTATATGTAATGTGTCACTTAGGAAGGAAAAGTTATAGAGACTCATGTTTACTGAAAGATTACTATGTGGCAGGCACAATGGACTAGGAACTTTTTCTTTTCCATCCTTAGAAGCCTTTTAGTGTCTAACTCTTCATTAATGTTCCTAGACTTATAAATGACAGAGTTCTGGGGCTCAGTTCTGGGTTACATCCTCTTCACTAGCTAAGCTATCTTCCTAGATAATTTCATCCAAATGTAAGACTTCACAATACCATCTAAACATACTAAAATTTTGGAAGTCCCATCTCCAGCTAAGAACTCTCTCCATATTCTACCCTCTCAGATTCCAGACAACTTCACTTACATGTCTAACAAACCCCTTATACTCTAATTTCAAATCAGAGCTCTTTGATTTTTTCCCTCCCCAGGTCCAATATTTTCTTACCAGTAAATGACAGTGCCACCTGCTGAAGCACACATCCAAGGGCTCATCTCTGATTGATTTCCTTACCTTTCCTCCCCCAATCCATCTACCAGTTCTACCACCAAAACAGAACTGGAATCAAGCATCTCTCTCTTGGAATAATGAATGGTTCCTTGCTTCTAAATCTGGTTTTCAGAAACTCATCATAATGACTTTTTCAAAACAAAAATGAGATTCTGACAAGCTATAAAATTATCATTATGGTGTACAAGGCCCTATATGATCTGATTTCTCAATCTCTGTTCTCATCTCATTCCACTATAACTCTTCCTATTTTCAAAATATGCTAATTTGACAACAATGTTCTTTGCATAGTAAGCATATTTTGCTCACTGCCTTCATCACTGTTATCTGCCCTTAAATGAAGTAAAATTTTCCATCAGTACAATTTAAGATAAAACAACTGTCGGTGCAGAACTCACTGTGTTCTCTTCAGTGTCATTTGGTAACGTCCAGTGACACTGAAAGATCTCACCCAAAATGGGATTGTATGGCTTTTTGGCAACCGATCCTTTCCTTCCTGCATGAAAGGCTGAGAGGTACCATTTCACAACCTGAACCATTCGATCCCTGGGATCTTTCTGGTCACTAATGCTGCAAGAGACAAAGAAAAAATTTAGTGCCCTGCTTTTTTGTTAGCATATCTGCCCTAAGTCATGGATTGGAGAGGACCCAGGACCAAGAGTTACCCCTAAGAATTTTTTTTTAATTGAGGTATAACATACATAACTAAATGCATTAATCTTAGTGTTTGAAGAATTTGACAAGTGTACATATCCATTTACTTAATCATTATTCTAGAAAGTTTTATCATTCTTCTGTTCAAGCAACTACCACCTCTCTCCACCCTAGCAAACAGTGCTTCTAGTTTCTAGTGCAATGGATTAGTTTTGCCTGTTCCAGAACCTGATGTAAGTTACATTATTTTATTAACAAACAGATATTTCCTGTATCTATTGTTAATTTTTAATTTAATCCTTTCATGATCAGAAAATATATTCTATGTGAATACAATTAGTTTAAACTGATTAAGGCTTTGCAGCATATGATCTATATTTTTTAGGTTTTTCTTTTTTTCTCTCCATATGGTGTTAATGAATATTCTAAGTGCACTTGAGAAGGCTGTTATACAATTGCTGGGCAGTGTTCAGAAAGGTCAGTTGAATCAAGGTGACAATTATACTGTTTTGGATCTTCTACAGTCTTATGATTTTCTCAGAAAAATCAGGGAAGAACTGGTGGGATTGGAAGGTTCTCAGGAAACCTTCTATGGCTTCTTTTACATCATCCTCATTTACTGTATCATCTCTCATTACTCCTAGTTTATTGACTCCTGCAGCAATATAACATTTTCGGACACCATCCAGCTACTGGCCTGATGCTGCAACAGCAGGCCCGGTTGCCATTTTGACCTGGGAGCCTACCCTTTTACTTTTTTAAACTCCAGGGCCTCTTGCATGCTAAGCACACAATCTGTCACTGAGTTACATCCCCAACCCCTTGTTTTTTTTTTTTTTTTTAATTTATCCTTTTACTTTTAACCAAGCAATGTCTTTATATTTCAAATCTCTCCCCTTGAAATGGCAATACAGCTGCATTTTGTTTTATCCAGTCTGACAATCTCTGTTCTCTTAAATTGTGGGCATATTATATTTACATTTAGCATAATTACTGATGTAAATGAGCTTAAACTCTACCATCTTAATATTTGTTTTCTCCATGTCCTTTTTGTTCCTCATGGCATTATTTCTCCTCTCTCCTTTTTTTTAATTAATCAAGTATTTTCAATATTCCATTTAATCTCATCTATTGGCATTTTTCTTTCTTTTGGAACCAGAAATTGAACCTAGAGGCACACATGACTGAGCCACATCCCCAGTCCTTTTTATTCTGAGATAGGGTCTTGCCAAGCCTCACTGACCTGCTGAGGCTACCCTTGAACTTGCTATCCTCCTGTCTTAGCCTCCCAAGCTGCTGGGATTTCAGGCATGGGCCACATGTCTAGCACCTATTGGCTTTTTAGCTATATTTTATTCAGGTGGTTCATAAGGACCACAAAATTTAATCCCCACAAAACAAAAAACAACCCTTAAATTTCAGATCTAATGAACAATTGATACTTTCTATTTTTACTTGCACATATTACCAATAAGAGCTTATTTGTTGGGGCTAGGGCTGTAGCTCAGTGACAGAATGCTTGCCTAGCATATGTGAGGCACTGGGTTCAATCAATCCTTAGCAATACATAAAAAAATTAATAAAATAAAGGCATGCTGTACATCTCAACTACCAATTTTTTTTTTAAAAAAAGAGCTTATTTGTTAGATTATCTACTAACTCAAACACTTCCATATGTATTTGTATTCATGCCTTTTTGAAACTGGTTATCTGGTCCTCTAAAACCTTCATCAAGAAGGAATAAATATATACATATATGTCAGCCTATGTGCCCAATCACCATGAAACCTGAGGGATTTATGTCTGACTGCAGTGAATCATAGTCCAAGGCAAGAGATACAATCAGAGAAAATAGATTAGAGCATTTCCGATTGCAAAGAAAATTTCCCTGCTACCGATAAAAATAGCAATGTGAACTTGCTTCCTCATAAATCAATCCTACAAGGATATATGTAAGAGTACAAACTTTAAGTTTAAAATTTATGAAAGTTTATAATCCGACACTAGACTGTAAACTCGAGGGCAGACACAGAATTTTTTTCTTTCTCCAGTTCATAACAAAGTGTCTGCCAAATAAGAAATGTTTTCTTGTTTAGAAACCTTTAGAAAAGTTTTCTGAATTTAGTTCAGTGAAGTTCTCCCAGGATACAGTACAAATAAATTAACAGTATAATCAATGTCTGGATCAAATAAGCCTATAATTTTGGCCTTATACATACTAGGCATCTATTAATCGGTTCTTAAGAAGTTTTTAAAGTGGTAAACTTGGTTGCCTTACAAAATCACCATCACCAGATAATGTAAACAAACATTCAATCCTGCTGTTTCCCAGAAATGTCTGAAAGGCGAGAAGGAATTCATTTATCCTGCAAAGGCAGAAGGCTATTGAGTAACAAAACTGAAAAACTAGAAACTACTGTGTTCAAATACCTCACAAACAGGTCCGGATGTGCAAAAAAGTCTGCATACATTTCTAAAAGAGATCTTCTTTCAAGAATAAATGTTGGAAGAACTACCTGAAAAACATAATTGACCTGTGAGGATTAAATTCCAAACACAGATTACTGAACTGCTAAAAGAATACTCATTCCAATCATTTAACACTTATCAGATACTGCCCAGGCATGTTTCTAAAACAATACCACTCAAATTCATCTATTCCAAAATGCCCATTAACTAGCCCAGCAGATGAAAAACAGAAAAGGGGTATTGCATGTTCAAATGTCATTTCCTCTGTGCAAGTTTCCTTTCACTGAGTACATCTATTCATCCATTGAAGAATACCTAGGCTGGTTCCAGAGTTTGACTATTGTGAACTGTGCTGCTATAAACACTAATGTCTCCCTATAGTATGCTGATTTTGGATCTTCTGGAAATATATGGAGGAGTGGGATAGCTGGATCATTTGGGGATTCCTAGTTTTGTTTTTTTGTTTGTTTGTTTTATTTTTAAGAGAGAGAGAGAGAGAGAGAATTTTTTAATATTTATTTTTTAGTTTTTCGGTAGACACAACATCTTTATTTTACTCTTATGTGGTGCTGAGGATCAAACCCAGCGCCCCGCGCATGCCGGGCGAGCACACTACCACTTGAGCCACATCCTAGCCCTACTCCTAGTATTTTGAGGAACCTCCATACTGCTTTACAGAGTGGATACACTAATTTGCAATCCCACGAACAATACATGAGTATATCTTTCCCCCCACATTCTTGCCAGCCCTGATTATTCTTGATTACTGACTGGAGTGAGATTGGTTATGATTTGCATTTCCCTAATTGCTAGACGTTGGATATTTTTTCATGTATTTGTTGGTCACTTGTATTTCTTCTTTTGAGAAGTGTCTGTGTAGTTCTTTTTGCCCATTTATGGATTTTTTGTGTTCTTTATATATTCTGGGTATTAATATCCTGAGGAGCAGGTAGCAAAGATCTCTCATTCTGTAGGCTCTCTTTTCATGCTCATTTTCTATACAGAAGCTTTTTTAGTTTGATGGCATCCCTCTTACTATTAGTTTTATTTCTTGCTCTCTAGGGGGATTGTTAAGAAAGTTGGTTCCTATACCAATATGTTGGGAGCGATGGGCCTACCTCTTAGAATAAAAGTTTCTAATTCCTAGGACTTTAATCCACTTTGAGTTGACTTCCCTGCAGGTTGAGAGCTTCATTCTTCTACATATGTAAATCTAGTTTTCTTAGCACCATTTTTTAAAAAGACTATCTTTACTCCAACGTGTTTTTGGCAACATATGTTTTAGTATCAGGTAACTGTATTTATGTAGGCTTGTCTTGTGTCATCCATTATATTCCATTAGCCTTCATGTCTATTTTGGTGCCAGTGACAATCTGTTTTTCTCTGTAGTATAAATTCTGGTTTGGTACTATGATGCCTTCAGCATCATTCTTTTTGCTCAGAATTGCTTTGGCTATTCTGGGTCTCTTAATTTTCAGAATGAATTGTAGTACTACTTTTTCTAGTTTTGTGAAATATTTCTAAATAAAAGATTCAATGATAGATAAAATTATGTGCCATATAACTGGTCAAAATGGATCTCATATAGGTCAATGATCCCATAAAATTATAATATAGCCTAGGAGTGAGGCAGGCTATACCATTTAGGTTTGTGTAGGCAATGTTCACACAATGACAAAATTGCCTAATGACAGATTTCTCTGACCATGTCCCTATGGTTAAATGACTCATGACTATAAATTATTAAAAGGTATTACTGGATTAGCATTTTTCATAATAACTCTAAATTCAAAATCAAGATTAAGTTCACCAGTGACAAAGTACTAGAGTTCATTTTGTCATAAATAAAGTGAAAATAATAAATTTTCAAAAATTCTAAAGATAGATACAATAATTCAACCAATATGAAATGAAAGCTACACAGCTCAAACCCTCACTTCAAGGGCAACAATGGAAAGATGACACATTTTAAAATCACAAGCCAGGTTAGAAATCAGTGTTCTGCCACCTTAATATGACTCAGCCAAATTTTAACCTGAGGGATGGGTTGTAGCTAAGTGGTAGAGTGCTTGCCTAGAATGCTTTTTGAGGCACTGAGTTCAATCTTAGACATCACATAAAAAGTAATATAAATAAATAAAGGTATTGTTATCCATCTACAACTAAAAATAAAATTTTCTTTTTCAACCTGGGTTTAGTTTCCTCATCTATAAAATGGAGTTAAACATGCTTAGCACAGTGGCAGATATACACAAAGATATACTTAAGTCTCCTAAATCACTGTTTAAAGCTCCAGGTTTAAATTCAAATTCAAATCCAGAATATAGCCACTATATGGCTCAACATGCATCTTCCAATCCTTACAATAACATTGAGAAGGAGGCCACTGTATGTTCACTTTGCAGGAGATCTGGAGGAAGGGACTTGCTCAAGGTCAGATGGTTTGGCATTACCAGAGGTAGGAGGTAAACCCAGATCCTTCCACCCTAAGACTGGAACTCTGTTCACTGTGATTCTATGCACACATCACTGCAATTGAGGTTTTGCTTTCTAACCAAGTCCCCATTATTATTTCTCATTTAAATAAAATAAAATTCAAATCTTAATCTCCACAACTCATATTCTCCAGGAAATCATAAGTGAGCTTATATCAACCATTTACAAAATTTTCAGATTACTAGTCTGTATGTTAAATCACATAACACAAATATATCATTTTACATATAAATTTTATCATTTTTCTAAGTACTATAACCACCCAATCCCTGGGAATCACACATACAAATTAAGTCTTAAACCAAATCCCAAATTTAGCTCTTACCTTAGTAAGATCCATTCCGAGCCTAACCTGTGACAAGAGGTGCATGATAACACTCTTGTGCTCCTCCACTGACCCTGCCTCTCCGTCATCGTCTCTATCGTCATGTGAATCAAAAAGGTCTAAAACAAAACAGATCCTCTTAGACTAGTATTAAATTGGGCCAAATTACGCTGCTACCAGTATTACAAATGTTTCTAAGATTAAAAATGTTGTTTTCAAAAATCCTTTACCAGCATCACTTGTACCGTTGGACATGGAAGAATTCAGTGATTCTGTGGTATCTGGGCGTTTTAGGCTATTTCCCGAACTGCTGTGTGTCAAGACTGAGGCAGAACCAGAAGAACTAAGAAAAAATAATAATAATAATAATCACCTTCTTAAGCTAAAGAAAGCAATTTGAAGTCATAGCAAGATGTTAACTTATAAAATTACTTAAAACTAAAATACATAGATGGATGACAAACAATTCTTACAGTTCTCAGGTTATACACACACACAAGCAATTCCAACTCTCTCCCTGTCACCAAGACTGAACTGTGAGGCCTGATGACAAGGTCTCTTGTTTTGTTCTTTTTGCATGGTGTATTCAACCAAGTTGCGTTTTACGACAAGGAATCAAAAATTAGTAAGATTTTTGCCTCTGCATTCAAGTTTGAAACTAGAGTTTGTTTCTGATTTTGTTGCTTTGATACATGCAGATGTGTCACAACACTTAGCAACAATTCCCAGAACTTCGAAAGTCAACAGTCTTATATTAAGTCTCAGAAAGATGTCTTATCCACATTTTTGAGATCCTTTGATAAAATCCACAATGGTATTAACACCTTTTCCAGTCATTAAAAAAAATTTGAAATTAAAAGAATTAAAAATCATTTTTTTCAAGTAAATTTATGATAACTGGCTTTATGAGCTAGTCAACAGGTCTAAAGAAAGCTATTTGTATTAGATTATTATATCTGTGTTCACAATTTACTCAGGGAAGTATTTGTACATAAATTGAAGAATATTTTTTTTTTTAAACTGAGGACTGAACCCAGGGGGCGCTTAACCACTGAGCCACATCCCCAGATCTGCCCTCCTTTTTAAATTTTTTTTTTTTTTAATTTTTATTTTGAGACAGGTTCTCACTAAGTTGCTGAAGCTGGTCTTGAACTTGCTTTAGCCTCCCAAGTTGCTAGGATTACATGCATGAGCCACCATGCCTGACTGTAGTTTACTTATTCAGTGTAAAATCAGAAAACCAATTTCTCACATTTCAGGTGCTTATAAAATGGTTCTCTATAATAATCATGGTCTTATTACAAATCTTAAGTATAAAACATTATATATTCTAATTTATATATAAGTTTACCCTTGTTTATCTTTTCTTTAAATTAATAATTTTATTTTATAAAGCACTTTGAGATTCACAGCAAAACTAAGCAGAAAGTACAGAGTTACCTTATACTCCCTGTCCTTAAGCCTATGCTCAGCCTCCTCCACAAACATCCCGCACTTGTTAGAACTTGTACCCTCGTTACAAATGATAATTCTACATCATAACTCAAAGTCTATGATTTACATTAGGGTTCACTCTTGGTGTTATATGAGTGGGGTGTTATGCATTCTATGTGTTATCATCAGCGACAAATATATGATGATATGTACCCACCATTACAGTTTTATAAAAAATAAGCCTGAATGCCCTAAAAATCCCTATATTAGACACTAAAATAACCACCTATTAAGACTACACTACGTATTCTTATTAAACATTGTTTGCCCTGGTTACCTGGTTTTTTATCTATTTTTCAAGAATTGAATATTGCTTCTTGGATAATTTAGTAATATACATTACAAGGTACTATAACTAATGTTTATCTCACCAGTTTTGAGAGGCAATTGAAAACTCAAGTAAAAGACCCAAGAAGTTAAATTATCATTAAGTAAAAGAACTGAATGAAAATAATCTTCAAAGTTTTTGTGGTTTTTTAAATAATCATCAAAATAGTCAAATCTTTTAAATCAACTGACCTAACTTGAAATCCTATAAAACATACATCATATTTTAGAAGAAATGCCAAAGGTCAAATGTATTTATGCTATGCTTTTTCTCTTTACCCATGGTTAGGAACCAGATCTAAGCTGGATGCAGTAGCACACGTCAGTAAGCCCAGCAACTCAGGAGGTTGAAGCAGGAAGACCACAAGTTTGAGGCCAAGCCTCAGCAATTCAGTGAGACCATCAATAACTTAGCAAGACTCTGTCTCAAAAAATAAAAAGACTGGGGATGTGGCTCAGTGGTGAAGTACTCCTGGGTTCAATCTCAAGTTACAAAACAAAATGGAAAAGGTACAAATCCTCAGCCAGTCCATAATATGAATACGGAAAAGGGACAAATCCTCAACCATTCTACAGTTTGCCTCATTTAGAGCAATATTTAAAGAATATAGTTAATCAGACAATAACACAGAT